CTTTATATTAGCTAACAGCAGCATAGCAGCCTCTTCTTTAATGGTGGCAGGTTCTCGTGGGAAAGACGAGATGGTTTCCAATAATAAGTCCTCTGCGGTTTGGTCATAGAGCGTCCTGAGCGGGGGATTAACAAGCCTTTCACCAGCTCTGACAATCGGTGCAAGCCCTTGAGCAGCGCTATTTGATTGGTCCAGTGGTTCCATATGTGTGATAATGCTTGATTCACCATTTTGGTGATAGCCAAACAGATCCAGCCAGAGAACAAGCTTCCGGTGCTCATTGTGCATAATGAAATTATGGAGGAACTGAAGACACGTAATCAATAATCGTTTATAGAGACTGACAACTTTTTGCCATCTCTCTTCATTCCTGGCATTGCTCTCTCCATCGTATCCTCTAGCAGTCACTCTAACACAAGTATCGATCAGCATCAAAATCCGTTGGTCAAACCCTTTTTCAGCAGCGAGGTTTTGTGCTTTCTTTGTTGTTGCAAGTAGGTTCCGCGCAATCGTACAAAGATCGTTCAACCTTTCAATATCTTTAACCAGGGGGAAATAGTTATATGCAATCAAGTTGGATGAGGAGCCATCATAGTTTGCAGATGTTGGGTTCTTCCAGGCAAAAGATTGAGATTCCAGTACCGGGATAGCTTTAGCGAGCACATCAGTAAGTCCCTGCCATATTGCAGGTGAGAATCCTAGATTTTGTCTATAGATAGTAATTGAAAAATTAGCTCCGGTTTGTTATACTGATAGGGCATTTTCATAAAAGAGAATATCTGACGGTAACAGCTTGGCGAATGAAACATCAAAGGCTCTCCTACCTTACGCCACTTTCCTGATGGCTTTTGTATAATATCTGCTTGCCCGCAAGTAGCAAATGTTCCAGTCTCTTGTCGTCAATCATTCCACGGGTCTCATAATGGCTCAAAGTGCCTATCAATACCACCTTTAGCAAAAGCTCTGGGGCGGTACACTTTGGGGCAGCCTGTGTGTTGCTCTCTTCTACAGCTTCCTGTGCTGCTGACGAGGTCATCTTTCAAAGTCGTGCCAGAAGGATGCTCTGTTGAATAATTGAGGGGGGAAAAGATATATGGAATCGTTTTTTTGATAACTCATCGGCATATCAGTTTTGCCGGCTCCGACATTCCTTCTAAGAGGGTTCCAACCAATGGGGTCCAAAGGTTACTTCTATGCATCAAAGATATACAAAGTGGATAGGAGAATGCAATAACAGATGAATAATATGTCTCTGTCCAGAGGATGTAAATGCGATGGCTAATCTATTCTAACAAACATAAAGCTATCGCCGCCTGTGAATGGAATCTCGAAGGTTCTCCCAGAAACCCAAATCGTATATATTAACAATTTCCTTGAGGCTTTGTACCTGTGTCCATCTTGTGTCGACCGGGGCATTATGCTTATCGGGCTGCTTAATCGAATTGCGCTCATCGGTGAATGTGTAGCCTACCCTAGGGGGTTGGCCGTTGGTGTAGACAAGTGTTCGATCGCTTCGTTTAGGCCAGGTGAAATCTTCATCTCTCACGCCAGATACATCCTGAAGCTGCGGACGCACTTCCTTTGCTTGTGCGATGTATGCAAAACCATCCGCAATATCATCACGCCACTCTCCCCACTTACTGCTTTCATTTGTTGTCATTCCAGACCATATCAGATAAATATGGTAAAGAAGCATCACCGATGATAGAGGGGCACATAGTAACGAAAGCAGAGTAATGGCGCCAATCTGCAGGTTATCCGTAAGAGCCATAAGCCAGAGATCTAAAAACACCATGACGGGGATGCCTGCGCTCCAGTGACGAGCAGTTGTTGCACCAGCGGCACTTGGGTGAACGACCTGCTGTAAATTTTCGTCCATGATGGAATATCCCAGAAATGCACCATAGAAAAGCAACACTGATGTGAAAAAGAGTAGCCCCAGGAAATAGTGGTAGTTATTCCGACCCACGCAGGTCCGCAGCCATACGCAGTGGTGATCATGCCGTGCGACGCAAGACTTGCAGATACTGCAATGCTTGCTACGGGCAGGTTTCAGGTGATGACATGTTCGACATGTCACATTCGGGTGAAATATCATATTATCATATGGGTATTCACATAGATATTTTAGATGGTTTTCAGGGGTGATGGTGGATGTTGAGCTGACACTGAGATATAGGAATGCATATGGTAAAGCAACAACCAGGGGGACCATGTATTTGTGGATCGCATGTAGCCTTGACCAGACCGCAGGTATAAATATAGCCTCAGATATAACAAGCAGCCCAACGAAGAAGATCTACCACCGCTGAACAGTTATTATATGTCTAGGCCCCAAAGGTAATAAAGGATGCGTACCAAAACCAACGGATGATTTTCATTCATGAGGTAGTTGCCCGTCCTTCCACAACAACTAAGCAACCGGCCGCCAAAGAGATATCCATCGATGCTGCGCGCATATCTAGGAAGATGTATCCACACAAAGCGGTATATGTAACCAACCGGAGTTTTCCTATTACGACTTAGCAGTTGTCACATCGAAAATAGAACACCAGATTGTGAAGATAGTAATTTACCTTAGCGCTGGTATTCGGCCAAAAAGGGTGATAAAAACGAGCAGAGAAAGAGCTAGAATGGCACCAAAAATCTCCTTAAATATCCCCATTTCCAACCAGGAGGACTGAGACTCTTCAAGTCCCACGAAGAGGTGACCAAGACTGACCCAGGTCTTCGCAGACCTCTTGAGAATTCAGTCTTCGGCTTCTGCCTTGTCGCTTTTTTTTCTTTCTATATAACCAGGGGCAGCTTATCTTCACGTGATGTCGTGGCGCGCGTCTATGTTTTCAATAGCAAGTTAACCGCGGCAAGAAGTTCAATATTGGCAACGTCAAATATCAATTTCAGCATTAACATCGACCTTCTTGTGAAAAGAGTTCGCGGAGGAAAGTTAATGGCAGGGATAAACACGCAAACTCACTGCAGCGAGGATGCTGAAAATCCTCTATCTGGCTCACCTCTGTTTAAGAACATGAAATTCTGGCTATCGAAGTCTGTTCCTCAAAGAGCCCATATGAAGCATCAGATAGAAGTGAGTAGTGGATGCCTGACTTTGGGTATTTTAGGTCTAAATTGTTGATTTTCTGTCTATTCGTGCGGCTTCTGTCTAGGCATACGGCGGGCGAGTGGTGATCCTAGAAAAAGATGCTGATGTACTTCTTGTTGACCATCTAAGAAAGGATAACCCGCCTGGCACGTCAGTTAGCCACCTTCTATACCCAATCGTGGCTTTGGTGACACTAATATATACCCAAATAGATACTCATACCAGTTTGTGGAACGCTCAATTCGTCTAGGGTTGCTCCAGGAGTTAAATAAGTTCTTGGTTGGAATGCCTCGTGGAAGTGTCAGGCAACCCACCATGGGCCCGGCAAAGAGGTATAGAGAGCCATTTACAGCTAAAGATGACCAGATTTTATACGATTGGATGAAACCTTTTGAGCAGGCAGGTGGAGCAGTGTCAGGAAACAAGATATATCAAAAATTAGAAGCACAAGTAAACAAGGCCTCCTCTCATGCTCCAGAATAGCCTAATTACTAAAACCACCATTTAGCACCCAAGCCATACATGGCAATCATGGCGTGAGCGATATCTAAAAAAGGTTCGGGGCCTTCCGCGACCAGGATCAGCTCATACGGGGCCTGATAGTTCTACCCCAGGACAATCAGGGCCACAGCCAGAGACCCCTAAACTCTCTATACCCACCAGTCAGCTGCAATATGGTGGTTTTACTGAAAGAGATATGGAGCTTCTTCTCCGAAATGCACCACGTATTCTAATGGTTTCCCCCGATGCGGAAGATGAGATGTGGTCTGAGATTGCTGAAAACGAGGTATGTTCTCATTCCCAAAAGCTAAACTTCAGCATGCTAACAGATATATTTATTTTTAGGATAAACATTCAGCAATGGAATGGAAGAATTATTTTCATACTTTTGTTCGCCCTATCTATGAATCAAAACTGAAGAACAAGAAGAATACAAAGTCAAGGCACAGCAATATTTCGGGTACCACAGAAAGAATACATGCAGATGCCGACACTATGAGTGATGAGCAAAAGGGGGGAATAGGGGGTGATATACAAATGCCGAAAGGGAAAAGGAGACGCACTCTTCCTGGCAGTTTCAGGCCCGCAGACCTCCCTACAAGAGTAGATGACCAGAATCAAAACAAAAGACGAGCCACAGGGTCCAGTCCATCTCAAAGTTTTACTGTAAATCAATTGACCGTGTCATCATCATTACCTACCACCACCAGGCCCGGAATACACGAACCAGATATGCGCTCTCAACGATACGAAACTACTTCCGAAGCCATTGCACAAAAACAAAAACAAAGTTCACCGTTAGTACCGAGGACACAAACTACCAATGTTGAAGAACATAGTCCTATGGAAGATGGGGCCCAAGAGGTTGACGAGTGGATTAGGTCTCGCGTTCAGCGTAGTCAGGGTTTGTTATCTGAGGACCAAGTTCGAAAAGCTCTTCGGTGCACAACCATGGACGACGTGCTTGCTGACAAAGTACTCGGGTATTTCCAGGCAGGGAAAGGCATTCCCACTAATATGAGGGGAGTCTGGACCGAAGAGGATGATGCTGCTATTCAAGGAGAGGACCCCAGAGCTATTGCCCACGTTGAAGAAAAACACGGCAGAGAGGAATTTGACGCTCGGTTTGAACATCTAATGGAGTTATGTGAAGAGCTCTATGGGGCACTATATTTAACGGATAAAGCGTATACAATTCCACCAGACAATTGGCTACCCCTATAGAACTTCAGTATCCTATTGTCGTCAGATATAGATGTTTCACTAATAAGCACAGAAAGTATGGAAGTGATTGAACAAGTTTTTGTGGTCAGGTATAGCAAACCGTAATACTCCAAGTGTACAGATAAAAAGACAAAGAAACTATTCAGAAACGGCTAGTTAAAATCACACCGCTAACTATTCCTCCTCCTCTACCCAAACAAATCAAGCCGATGCTGGTATCGAAAAAAGAGAGGATATTACAGGGCAGTGGAAAATGTGCAACTAGGATATTTGGTTAACTACCTGCTGAGGCGAATGATTCCACATTCATATGCTGCGTAGAAAGTATGTCAGAGGCTAGGGGAGCGGAAAAACCAGCGCGGCTATTCGAACTGCTAATCCTCGGTTGAAAAAGCACCCTAGACTAACAACAAATCGGATACCATATGAGGTCAGGATAGTAGTTCATTTCAGCTCAAGGCGTTAACGTCCGTTGTTCATTAGATCGAACTCTCCTGCTTGTCATGAAGTTTGCCAAGTAGATTGGTTTCTTCATGCTTCTTTAAAGACCCTATAGAAACAGTTAGATCACAAAACCACTAAAAGAGGCTTTATAATAGAGACATACAAATGTTGTTCATAGAATTGGAGCATCTATTCGAGAAAGGTCAGCCAGGGTCATTATACGCTCGTTTAGAGTTATATTTCCGTACCTTCTGGGGGCAACGTTCGTAGCATGTTTGCAGGGAGGCCCTGGATTTCCTCCCGTTTTTCCATTCCAAATAGACAACAAGCCCATCGCCATCAGGGTCGCGCGAAATTGTACTGATATATTGCAGTTCATTATCCCAATCGTCCGTAGTCGGTACCCAATCCGGCAGGTCTTCCGGAGAAGCTTCTCGGTCTGGTGTTCCAACGTTGACAGAATTGACCTTCCTTCCCTTCTTCGCTGGTTTATCTGGTGTAGATGATGCCTTCTCTGCTAGCGATTTCCGCTTCTTTGTGGGCTTTTCTGGGCGTCCACCAATCTTCTTAAAGTACTCTTGCAGAACCTCTTGAGCACCGTCACTATTTACCACGGTTAGTAATTGGGTCAGTTATCCACAAAGAATCGAAGGGGTAGCCAATACAGTAAATTCTCCTCTGGTTCTACCGTCATATCTGCTGGATCATCGTATCCTTTCCATTTTACCTCAAATTGAAGCTTTCCCTGTTCAGTCCGTGGAGTTAGAGGCTGGGTTAAGAACAATTGCGCAATGGAATAAGACCGAACCTTTTTGTCAAAGCTGTGCCCTTCTATCCGCTCCACTACATATCTATCCCACTATTAGCAGGTGCCGCATGTCAGGGTAACCAGTGTCTGCACCGCTTACACGTCCTCTTCCTCTTCACCCTCATCCTCTTCGTCGTCTTCGTCGTCATTCTTATTGGGCTGGGATGTCCTATTTCCCTTGCTGTGAAAAGGGATAGCTTCACCTGTGGACTCTTCGTCACTGGATTCAATATGCGCTTCAAAGCTGTCAGTAAACGGGCTTCTAATTGACATGCAATAACACTCACGAGGCATTCTGACGAATTCCGTGTGATAAGAGCAAACTAGCCGAGTAACGACTTAATGACAGGCGCAGCTCTACGGAAAACAACCGGACACAGTTCGACGTATTATCTAGATCGCGCTGGCATTGAAAGCTAGGAAAAATCGCAAGCTTCTCATCCAAAAAAGTCGCGAAATCGCGTTTGTTCGAAAGAGAGTATGGCGCTAGTCCATTTTGGGAAAACACCTCCCACTAGGATGACTAAGCCTTCACAGCGTCTATTTGAATTTAATTATTTTCAAATTGAAGAAGTTCAGCTTGTTGGTTTGTTTAAACGACAGCATAATATCTAGCGTTTGTAGAAGGGTGTCGGACTTGTTCATATCTATTGGAAGCTCCCTGCCAAAGGAAAGAAAAAGCCATCATTAGATACACTTCACCGGAGCAGCTTCAAGATGGCTATGCGTATGTTTCTATTGCAAACCCCCTCCATCACAGCAAAGAGAAACTCACTAATATGCTGAATTCAATAGAACTTGATATGTCCCAAGGTACTTACGATGTCCTCCGATGCCCATTATTAATATCTATAATTCTGATATATATATACCTGAAGCCTCCGTGGTGAAGGATGAGCAGGGACGCCCATTTATCGTTGTCCGAGAGTAGGCCTCACTATTACACATTGCGACTACAATTGCCGATCTAACACAAGGCTTTTCCTTACAGTCAAGGAAAGAAGAAAAGACAGCATGGTACCGATGCAGTTAAGTCTCATATTGTTGCGGCAAAGACTGTGGCCAATATTGTGAAAACATCTTTGGTAAACGGGACCCCCCCTTCCCATTCACGCTGGAATGGTGGAATGCTGATGTATTTTGCATTTTTATCTTACAGGGTCCACGAGGGTTAGACAAGATCTTAATTTCTCCAGATGGGGACATCACTATCACAAATGATGGAGCCACTATCCTCTCACAGGTGAATTACTGCCCCTCCCCCGCAGGTACCGAGGTGGCCCCCTAACACAAGATCGGCATTAGATGGAAATATCAAATCATGTCGCAAAACTGCTCGTCGAGCTTTCAAGATCACAAGATGAAGAAATAGGCGACGGCACCACTGGTGTTGTTGTATTAGCTGGAGCACTCCTTGAACAGGCCGCAGATTTGATTGATAAGGGCATTCACCCGATCAGAATTGCGGACGGTTACGATCAGGCTTGCGACATTGCAGTAGCACACCTCGATAAGATCAGTGACAAGGTCGAATTCTCACGGAATCATCAAGAGAATTTGTTCAAAGTCGCAAAGACTTCCTTGGGCAGCAAGATGTATGTACTTGGCTACCCCTTGCATTACTTAGACCAACGGCTAGATAACTAACAAATATTTGGACTAGTGTATCAAAAGCACACGACCAGTTTGCAAAGATAGCAGTCGATGCTGTACTTTCTGTTGCAGACTTAGAACGCAAGGATGTCGACTTTGAATTAATTAAAGTTGATGGGAAAGTCGGTGGTGCCCTTGAAGACTCCCTGCTCGTCAAGGGCGTCATTGTGGACAAGGATTTCTCCCACCCCCAGATGCCCGATGAGGTTAAGGATGCCAAAATTGCCATCTTAACCTGCGCATTTGAGCCACCAAAGCCCAAGACCAAGCACAAGCTTGATATTACCAGCGTGGAGGAGTTTAAAAAACTCCAAGCATACGAGAAAGATAAATTTACTGAGATGATAAAACAGCTCAAAGACACTGGTGCTAATCTTGTCATTTGTCAGTGGGGTTTCGATGATGAAGCCAACCATCTTCTTTTGCAAAACGATTTACCCGCAGTCCGATGGGTTGGTGGCCCAGAAATTGAACTCATTGCTATTGCTACGAACGGCAGAATTGTTCCTCGATTTGAAGACCTCAGTGCCGAGAAACTTGGAACTGCTGGTATAGTCAGGGAAATGACCTTTGGCACCACAAGAGAGAAGATGTTGGTAATTGAGGAGTGTGCAAACACCAGAGCGGTCACTGTGTTTGTCCGAGGAAGTAACAAAATGGTAATGTTCCATCCATTCTATTCCTTACAGATGTAAGAGTTCTGATACTAACGTTCCTAAATCAGATCATTGATGAAGCTAAACGATCGCTGCATGATGCCCTTTGTGTGGTACGGAACTTGGTTCGAGATAACCGCATTGTTTACGGCGGAGGTGCGGCCGAAATCGCCTGTTCCCTTGCTGTAGAGGAGGCTGCCTCCAAGGTTTGTTTATCCTATCCACATATATGGATTATATATCAAAGTCCATCTAACATACATCTTAAGACCCCCGGCCTTGAGCAATATGCCATGCGAGCATTCGCAGATGCACTAGACGCCATCCCACTAGCACTAGCCGAAAACTCCGGATGGAGCCCAATTGAGACGCTTGCCTCCATCAAATCGAAACAGATCAAAGAAAATAACAGCAGATTGGGCGTGGACTGCATGCAGACTGGAAGCAATGGTAGGTTTATGTACGTATCAGGTTATCCCGATTTATACTAACACTTTCTAATCCAGATATGAGGGACCACTTCGTAATTGATCCTCTAATCGGCAAACGCGAACAGTTGCTCCTTGCTACCCAACTATGTCGTCTTGTTTTGAAGGTACATGCAATTCATTTCAGGATCTACTCTCTGCTCTAACAATTATATGTTGTGTTCGATACTAACTCAAATTTGTAGGTGAACAACGTTATTATCGCTGGCGAAGATAATGATGAGTTCTAAACCATATTCTACACACACACTCTCTCTCTCAATGAGATTTGTCAGGAGCGAATGAGGCTGAGCAGGGTTGTAAGGTGGCTCCCCCGGCCGTTGATTGGGTCTTTCCCATCTGATAGAGTGTGATATTCACATATCTCGTTCATCTGCACCATGCAGGATGTCAATATGTGATACCATAATAAATCTATGACTGAATAGACAAAAGTGAAATAATGCAAAACTTGATCATATTTCTTCCCCCACGCTCTTGGGGTTTATGCAGGAAAAGCCAGAACAAATTATATAGGCGTCAACATCATTTATACCAGCTGATACCATCTTGCGCCTCCAGTTAGGACCCTTGACCGCCAAATAGTAATCCCGACATGAAAAAAGATTAAAAATTAACTAACTCCATGTTTCAAATGTCGGTTCGTTCCTCTTTTTTTCTTCTTTTCCCCCATTCACCATGTGCAGTTGGTTCTCGCCCAGGAAAGCTCTTAATATACCAACCAGTACTCTCCGAGGACATACATAAACTTACTGTAAAGCTGAAAGGCCAAGCTGATACGTCCACTATGTTGAAGGGTAGTATAGCTCTCTCGTTCTCCGGTTTGCATCTTGATGTTGTTAATGGGGGGTCGCTAATTGCCATATCACAGCTCAATGCAGGCTGCACACCTTCATGAAGAAGCAAGATGATAAACACCTGGCAGAAAGCCGTAAGGCCGCATACTCTCTAAAAGATGTCGAGCACGCTCTACAAATTCCAAATCCTCTCGCCAGCCACCCCAGAAAATTTTGTAACAATTCTTACCGATGCATATTATTCAGGCTTCGTATTGGAGTCTTCGCCCAAAATGAACACGCTGTTCAAATATGAAAGGGCTATCTTTCGAAGGAGGCATGCGGGACCCTAGACTTGGCAATGCGTTCGTGGTCATATGTACCATTTCGGTTGGACTCTGAGAGAAGTACGGAGGTTCTTCAACAGAGAATCTACCCAGACCAACATTCCATCAGACATAGAAAAGTATGACTTTTCACCGCCCTCATTTTGTGTGCCTCAAGTGGCCAGAGGGGATGAAGCAACTTGAAAGGCCCCTCCGATACCCACACCCACCATGACGAAGATATTCTCTGGGTCATTGATAACGATGGTTATCTTGCTTGAGGCCGGAACGCCCTCTGCGTTGTATTTGCGAGGTTTCAGCGGTCTCGTGCAGATATCGAACAGCTGTCTTCCGGGGCCAGACGTGGTCGGACATAGCGAAGCAACTACTCGGGTCACTCACTCAGGGGAATAGTTGGTGAAGGAAATAAAGACGAGGTTAGAAAAGAGATATTTCAACGGAGGATTAGAGGGTTTCCTTCTCGTATCTGTGGATATACGTAGCCTAAATTCACGCCGTCTATCCGCCCAGGTAGACAGCAAAAGGAACAGGAAACGCGATATTCCATGTAAAGGGAGTGGTATATATGAGATGGTCGAGTCTTTTCCGCCAATACATGATGGAGTACTTTTCATCGCTTGGTAATGGTACAAGAAGGCTGTTGAAGGATAGGGCCATGGTTAAAGGCACCAAATCGTAGCAATAGGTTAATAACTTGCAAATATCGAGACCACTAGGCTACAAGATGGGTTACTGCATATGATTGCTTAGAGCTATCCTGGACGAAGCGTTATGCATATTCGAATTTTTATTTTTATTTTTATTTTCATCCACTTGAGCTGCTGGATGGAGTATGTATACTCGCCTCCCCCCCTGTAACAGCATATCCACTTCCAAACTACCACACTCTCCCGAAAAAAATATCAAAAACATATCATGCCAACCAGATTACCCAACACGCTTCAGGCCAGCATATGCCGAGAAACAAGGGAAAAAAGAAAGGTTGTCCCCTTGCAACCCTAGTTTCAAGATGCAAGATAAGTCATATCTACGCATTGACCTAGAGTCTCTCTTGCAGCCATCGATTTGGCGAGATGGAGGTGTTCTGCAACCATCTGGGGTAATGTAGAAGGCCTATGGACTATGGAGCAAACTAGATGGGGGACTCTGGGGGATGGGATACTCGTCTTGCAGGTAGAGGCTACAAGTCTACAGCTGAGATACCTAGAAGGCAGGACGACACGGGAAACAAGGGCCTGTCCGCCACCACCGAAAGGATAGTGCCATGTTTATGCTCCATAGTGGCTACGGCTTCACATGCCAGGTTGAGATCTGGTTTAACCATGGATATAACGGATGTACGTTGCGCGACAGGTCTGGCAGACGTATTCGACAGGCCAAAATGTGACATGATGGGGAGTTTTTACCATGTTTTGCATCCGGATGCATGCCAACTGCCCCTGACTACATTCAGGCGACAACGATGACACCTCCCTTGTGCACTCTCTACACCGACTCTCCAGAAGCGACAGCCATGGTGTGAAAGGTCAAGTGAACAGCAAATGGCAAATTTTTTTCCCCTTCGAGAGTGTCCCGTCTAATCTAGACTCGACATGGAAGCAAAAAGCAACGGATTCTTCAACCTTCAGCTCAGTTCCCATTAGCATGTTCCCAAAACGAAGGTCTTCAAGGCTAAGGCGTATATCGTCCTCCCTGTGTGGTTCTTCAGCGGCGCTAGAGAGGCTCCGTTTCTTAAGATCGCCGCCATAGATCCGTCTATCTCGATCTGAACCCCAAGAGTCAGGGCAACGCGCCGATCAGCCCGAAGCCAAAAAGCCTTTGCAGCGTCCACGCGTGAAGACATGTGCTGGACGGGCAGAAATCAATAGTAGTGGAATAGTACCGTCCACTACAGTTAGTACGGGGGGAGGTAATTGCATTACTGTGTTTGCTTCCATACGCAAGGCAAAGTGCAAAAATTGAACAACTTTATATTGTACTTTTTCCGTTCTAGCTATCGTATATGCTGCCTGGATGCACTGCATTTTTCTTGTTTTTTTTTATATTTTTTTATAAGATGGTCCAAGTGTATGTAAACTTCGTCGGGTATGGGGTACCGGGGCAAACGGTATCTATAGCTCAGCACATATATACTCTCCGTATACATTCCATCCACCATGACTTGGCTATGCTTGGAATCGGAGAATTATAAGCGGCTTCCGCGGAAGAAGCCTCCAACTCGTGAGGTGGCCGCCCGTCATCTGTGTTCGTGTAGGTTAGCAGAAGAGTTAAGAAATGGCAGATGATACCACTCTGCAAAGTGGTTATCGGTAGCGATATCTTCTATAAACTTCGTCGTTGGCCTCCAGTATAGATACCTAGAGTCATGTAACAAACCACAGGGACGCTCACTTCCCCAAAGACCATCATGCAGCTTAAGCTACATTTTTGTATCCAGAGTTAGTTAGTTCTCCATATTAAGAAGTACTTATCTTCAAGCTTTCACGGCCCCACGGATAACAACCTATCAGTAATCCTCATGATGTTCGGCATCTCATTCCATAGCCACTTCAGAATGTAAATATGAAGACCTCAGCAGCTGGCCACTAGCAGTGTTCGCTATATCCATGATCCTGTGTGGAGGAACAAGTTGCTCGGCTACTGGAGTAATTGGCCTTTTTGCCACCCTCCGCCAGTACTGTAATCCCCCATTCCCAGTTGATGGGCCTATCATGGGGTGGTTGTAAGATATTGGGTCCTTAAAGCAAACCAGTGAGGGTATAACTAGCGTACTGGGAGGTATTCCCTCTGATAGCCGGCACTGTGGGTATACCGATGAAATTCAGATACAGTCAGGGGGCCGTACCCCACCCCCCCCCCCCCTTGTTACGATTTCCATCTTGCCCATTCTTGTTGCATCTAATGACGGGCACGTTAGCCAACGAGGAACTGTCGGCTGTACCGGAATGCACTCACCTGGCTGGAGATATGTTTCCGCACTTCGCTTCACGGCCAATTAATAGAGTAGAAACGATCCATATTTCACTTCAACTGTATAAACATGCCATTCTAGTTTCTGCTTATCTGTGTATCACTGGTGTGTTCATGTTTGGTTGTTGTGGGCGTATTTTATATGGCCAGATAACCGTGATGTCCAGTGACTCTCTGGCTCACCATAATACATCCCAAGGTAGACAGTCGAGCATAATCTTCTGTACTGACAACTCCGTACACCATCACTTCAACCACTTTCAGCGACAAGGCAGCTTTGATCTTCGGTTGGCTATAATTCCGCCCCTAATGGCTATAATAAGGTGCCGGGGAAGAGCCAGCGCCCTGGTGCTCGGGCGCACTAGGAAATTATTTTACCCCCTAAGATCATCCCGCCATTCATGATGGTGGCGGCGGTATATCTGAGATGGCTTGTCTTTCTGTAGGGGCGTCTTAACTCATTTCCCCCCATGGCTTCTGGTTTCCTCCCGTTCTGACAGTTTTACAGAGTCGAACCCAACAGGGTGGCCACCGGATTCGGCCCCAGAGGCGGGCCGCCGTACCATAGCGCTTCCCACCCCCATAATCCACTTAGGAGAAAAGAAACGAGCCAGTCAGTACTGTGGAATCGCGCATAGAGATATCTGTTAGATCCCGATGCAAAGTAACGAGTGTCAGGTTGCATTGACTATCGAATCGATTGGACACCAGGTCTCAGGGGTATCGGTCTGTGTGCAGAACCGCAGAAGGAGATATCACAATTCTGTCCACGGATGAAAAGGCGTTTGGGAAACTCTGATGGACCACGCAAAAGTACGCACACACACATGACAAGAATACGAATGGCTCAACGCTTCTATTAGCCATCATCCCTTGAAGAAGAAGGGCGGGTACGTGTATCAGCTTCCCCGGAACTGATATATCATAATATTCACGATCGATCTCTTTTGACAAGCCCCAACGGCAAGGAAAGCAGCCGTGTTAACGGTAAGGTTAACGCTATGGACGTTGAGGCAGAGGATTTGTGGAATTCATCTTCGCCATTCTGCAGATATTCTGTCTTCCCATAACACATCAGACTATGCGAATACCCATGCCTCTCCCATGATTAACTAGTTGACTAGTTAATAATTGACCAAGACGAAAAAGAAAAAGAGTAAAATGAAAAATAAACAGCGTCTTGTATCCGATCCGTCAATACAAGGCAGATACTGAAGACACGCTCCCCTTGAAGAAAGGCACATCCCCTAGCCTCTGCAAGCCTCCGCAAGCAACGAAATATCAGTCAGTCCTCTCATTACTTTTTGCTCTTCACTGCATGTATTCCCATATATACATAACGCAGTATGCGCGACAAAAAAATACATCCTGGCTCACTCCATCACGTGGAACAGATAATTAGGGGGCTATTTAACGGGGGACCAGCTACTTTCTCCCTCGCGGCCAGTAACATGCAGAAGAAAGTGTGAATGAGCAGCGCCACCGACATAAAACGACCCAACGAACAAACAGATATCTGCCATATTCAATCACCTGAGCACTGCAATGCAATTATTCACCTCCTCCTTCGTACTCCTTGCAGCTCCAGTTTCCGGTGCAGAGATGAGGACAATAGAGAACCGGGATCGCTTCCCCAGCAATTCTTCAATCAGCATCCTACATTACGTAGCATGCATTTTTCAAATAGGGATAATACAATATGCTGTAAAACATATTTCAAAACAGGCTGGGAAAATATCAGGTCTCTAGGCAGGAATGATAAAAGCACGCACACAGTTACCCTCCCTGCTCCGTAGGAAAAAGGATAGGGCATGACTTTTAATTTTCAATGTCATATAAAAAATCAATAACCAAAGAGGGCTGTAAGACAGCTGACCTCGTCATGAAGCCGAGGTCGTTGTTTATTGTTTACTTTCTTTTCACGGCATGTTTCAGACTCTGGATCAAAGCTCGCAGCGATAATTGTGGCGTATACAATCTGGATGGTTATCTGACGGCTCCAGGAGGCGTAAGGCTTCCCGCAGACTGAATTGCGGAGTACGCGGGACCCTATCTCTCTGTGAGCAGGTGAGAATGGCTTCGTATTCAATTCTCAATAGATGAGATGCCGGTTATATGCATAGGGGTTGTGTTCATATACAATAGGTTATGCAACACAACCCGGGCAAAGCCCAGCACCCTTCCCTTGAGGACGGAGAATCACTAGTAACTCGTCAGCCGAAATATTGATCATAGTTGCACTGGGTTATACTGTGAAGAACCAGATATTGAAGACTGCATACAGAGTTCGTCATGCACAGACATCTAGCTTGAGTCAAAGAAAGTAAAAAAAAGAACCACCCAGAAGGATCCCACGAACTGGTATAGCACATGCAAGTCATGTAGCCGTGATAATGGAGCTGAGAGATGGGAGGAAATGCACCGTAGTTCTCCTTGGTCGTCGCTATTGGTTATAGCTACCACGATGCGTGTGACAGAAGGGCTGAGGGGGAGAGAAGAAGATTTCGAATTCTCCATGGCATTCTGGCTGGCAGGTCTAGATGCAATGGCTTGTGGGGGATAGAGAGTGGGCAGAGATACAAGTGGCGAGTCGACGTCCTTGCAGCAGCGGAAAGTGATCTTGGACAGGTGTCATATATCATGAGAAACAGACCTAATAAAAAAAAAAACTATCAAGTTTAGAGAACAATCTATAGCAAGCACAAATATAGCTGAATCAAGCAGTCGAATGATCAAATAGGTTAATGGATATATATCGTCCATCGCGCCACTACATAATTCCGTGGATAAATCCCCAGAGTGAAAATAAAACGATACACACACACCCAACGAGGAGAGGGAAAAAAAGATAAAAGAAACCCTGCATGAATCTGCAAGTCATAAAAACAAAGCAGAATCAACGAAAAGAAAAACGGCTGAGAAAGGAAAATCGATCGACGAATCTGCAAAGAGGCACAAGCATCACACCACAAACTATTATTTGAATCCTATTTTCTATTGGTGGGAAAGGCAAAAAAAAGACTTGGGAAAAGAGCATATATTGTAGCACAATATATACGAACATGACACAGCCTTGGTGAGGGAAAGAGTAAAAACCAGCCAAATAGGAGGACTGGATAGCCACTTGAGAATCGGATTCCAGAAATGACGCGAATCGATGATTATTAGGTAAGGAAGGGCGGCATTTTTTAACGAGATAGATACAGTGGGGGGCCAGATATCGTGGACACCAACACCCTCCCTAACCCATCTTGCATTTGTGCAGCGAAGGCGAGCTTGCTTGGCTCTTTGACATCTTCTTCATTCCTGCTGGGGTCGTACGAAGAAGGTTGAATATGCACATGAGCATAGTGCTCAGGAAGACGGAAAGGGGCGTCTAAGATATCGCAAGCGGTCTCGTCCTTCTTCCCACAGCGAATATAGACCGCTACCGAGAGTCACCCGTCGGGGAAGGTGATGTGACATAATATAAGGGCCCATAAGCTTCAATGATCTGATTTAGATTTTGGTAGTAAAACGGTTTAGAAAGAAAAAATTAAGGGAGAATCCCTTTCTTTTTTCTCCCCCTCCCTCGCACTCTCTTCCCTAGTCAGTTTTTCATGGAATAAGGCCTGTGGCACAGAAGTTCTTCAATATATCTGTTACGTTGCCGGGTCAAGTTTGAAGTTCGTGGCTGGCTCATGGGGCCGAACCCGAGAGCCAGTCGACCCATAGTAGGGAGCTGAGGAGGTTGGCATTGCGCGGGGGGCCGTTCGAGGCTGAAGCATGTCATCTGCCGCCGCCACTAGAGCTGTGGATTAACGTGACGACGTGTCTCCTTGTTGGAGTATCGTGCTTAGCTCGAGCAGGCAGGGAAATGTAAGCAGAGCAGTGCAAGAATAAGGGACTGGTCTGGCCTTGGTGTTTATTCGCACACTGGCTTGTGATGGAATTATGCCTTGATGCTTTGATTTAAAATCTTAGGCTGCTGTTTATTGAAAAATCAACTGTTAGCCAGGCGTTTATCAGTTGATGTATTTTGGATATTGTTCATCGATAGAAAAGGAAACATTTTTGATCAAAGCATGATCAAAATTTGAAAATGAAAGGCCAGTGTAATATCATTCATGTTTTAGGGAGCACAGAAAAGAGCAAAGCTTCGGTACACATAAGCACAACAGGCAGTACGAACAGATATCAGAGACGACCAACTGTGTTGTTGAACATTTGCATATTCGAAGATCCTTGAGGTTGAGGTTATTCGTACAGATACTCGATGACAAATCATATCACGTGATAATAGCAAAAACCTCTTGCAAAAAAAAGCTGATATCGAGCAAACAACGGATAGAACGCCGAGTTCCATCTAATAATGGGATACGCATCAAGATACGGATAAGCCCTCTTTCGAGCCGCCCGTCCACCAGCAGCAAACAACAGAGGGTCAACCAAGCAAGTGAATCTAGCTCGACTATCCGATTCAAGCAAGTCGAACAGTGAAGTTGGAGTCGCGATCGCGATCGCAACTAATTCAAATAACTAGTAGCCATCCAGTATACCGGGATTTGGATTCGATACATCGCCTTTGACTGCCAGCCAACATCCACAAACCACAAGCATAGCACAGAAATGGCCAGACAACGACCGACAACACAGCATAGACACACAAAGCAAGGCCAGGACCCAGACACAGGCATGGGAAGGCGGACTGGAGATGTAAGTGCATTGACCTCTATGGCATCCAGAATGCCGCCATGACCTTGATCCTTGTTTTGTTATCTATTTTATTTGAGAAATGATTTCTCTTTCGCACAAGGAAAATGGAAGATGTATACGTAAGAAGTATGGGAGGAAGAAAGGAGGAAGAAGATAGTGGAACGGCCACATGATAGGGATGATGTTATTAACCAATATCTCGAAACCCTGGCTTCTTCCATAACTAACAAACATCCCATCCACTTGGTTATTGGTTTTCTTATTTATTTTTTGCCTCTGATATTGCAGCGAAAATACTCCGCAGAGGAGCTCGGGAAAGCTACGACAACGCTGGCGCAGCGGTCCCTTACATACCTGCAGTATGCAGTAAATTTGAAAATAGAAAACCGAACTGCTTCAGGCCGGGTCAGGACAGATCATTTGGACATCGTCCTCCCGTGGAACAAACATGTCCGATCCCCTCTGAAGGCAGCACAATTGGGTTGAGTAGCGTCTACGATGCGAAAGTGATCACCACAATCCCCGCAAACTTCAGATCAGAGATCTTGTCCCAGTTCTATTCTAGTCCAGGCTTGCCTGATCTGGGAGTAAGCAAAAACAGGTATCTGTCAAGTTCCAGGTACCTGAGAGAACAGCTGATTTGTATGCAACGTGTGGTGTATCATGTGTGCGGTCAAGGGGCAAGGTACAGAAAAGGAACAAGGTACACACCAGGCAAAGGAAATAGCCAAGAAAACTGCTCCCCCATTTTCGGAGATCCTGAGGAAGAAAGTTGATGCAAAGAGGAAATGGGGTTTGGTGCCTTGAAACCAAACAGCAATCGTCAGCCTTCTGGTGTAACGTGGCAAACTTGGTACAGACCACCAGATCGTGCATCAGTATGGGGGTATGGTGCATGTACAAGAAAAAAGAAGTCAATAGATCGCAGCTTTTATCAATGGAGTTAAGGTTGAGATTGTCATGTCTTCCGTTGCTTTCTCCATGTCCAGAAGGAGATATTTTGATAGTCGACGAGGAACTGTTATCCCATTTCTCCGGGGCTGGAGAGGCCAGTTATGGTTATCTCCCCCAAGGCCAACCCAAGCAAACCATCTAGTTCCGGCCAAAGAGATACCAATTAAAGAACCAAAATGAAACAAGGGGTGAACTTACATAGTAAGCCCTAGAATAGAATGCTTGTATCCTTTCATATCGACAACTCTGTACATATCATAAAAAAGGAAGGGCGTCGTGATGAAGAAATAACGTTGGAAGTTCATGTTTCTTTTCCATTTCCTTTCTTTTTTTTTCCTTCCTGCATCCGAGGAACTTGTGGTCTTGGTCCTTCTTTTTTTATATATATATTTCTTTTCTTCTTTCTCGTTTGTCTCATTGAAACAAGAGATTCCGAACAAATAACATCCAAAAGACAGTGCATAAGTATAGTTTCTTCTTCTTCTTTTCTTCTCTGCTCCCATCCCCGGGTGAGACTGACAAGGTATAAAATTCCAGTACCCAGGCTTCTGGCGCGGGTCACATTGTCCTCTGATCCGAATAAGATTAAAGCATACGCACGGAATTAGCTTAAAAAGAAAACATCAAAGCCAACTAACCGCGTTGGAGAAGCCATCTTCACGGTCCTCGATCTGTAATTCGCCCAGATAGCCATGCCCAAGGCGAACAGGGCGAACAGAACACCTGTCAGAGTCATGAAGGCGATTTGTGAAAAGCAAAGATGCAGAGACAAATGTAAGAGAAAGAGAGAGAGAGAGCAATATGATACGAGAATCAAAGGGGCAGACCTGACACGAACTTCCACCCCCCGCACACACGTGAGTAGGAGCCGTTGGCCCAATGGCGTGGACATCATGATGACCCTGGTTGAAAGGGGGGAAAGGGGAAAAAGGATCAGAGAACATATCATATTGTCGCGCGGTAGGCGCACGATCAAGCAGGTAAAGAGCAGCAAGCAAACTAGCGATGAGTTCCTTGGATAGAGCACACGACTCCGTTCTAGTCGGATCTGGTCGTAACTGATAGACGTAACTTGGGTTCTGTATTGCGATTTCAGCGTATATCTTGATACCTACAAAGTTACCCTCGACAATACTAACTAGTCTGTTGCTCCTGTGAACCTGTTCTCAATTGTAAGTTCCTAGTTACTCTCTTGTCTCGTTTCCCTAACCCACCCGATGTCAGATGTAAAGCAGTGCTACTCTAGGGCACGACTACGAAAGGATAAAAAAAATCGAAAAGCAGACGAACGGAGGTTGAAAGGACGCTGAGCAACCTCGGGAAGTTCGCCCCAGACATACATGAGCTCTTTTTTCCCTCTTCCCGGAGTTTAGGGGGATATAACTATCACGTGTACGCGATAAGTAAAACTTCATCCCGACAACCGAAGCCGAAGCAAGTAGATGTAAGAGAAAGGGAGAGATGGGAGAAGAGGCTGTGAGAGGCAGTGCTGTGCCGTACGTGCGGGCGTGATGTCCACCCTCTACTTTGCCATCTACCTATAGCTATATTACTTCTTCCTCTTCTTGGTTCGGAGGCGGCCGAAGTTCGACTCGGGATAAGATGTAACTCACAACATAACTCGGTGTAAGGAGAAGGGGATAGCAGGTCGGCTCTCCAAGTCACCGGACGGACATCATCGCCGTAAATGGGGCTCGGCTTTTTACAGCTACAAATTTATTTCTTTACCCTATACAGCGGGAGCTGGGGTGGCTACCTGAAGGATGTTCATGGACCAGACAATATACGCCCCGTGACCTTCTGACCTTTTTACGGCTGTCTCTACCTTGGTTGAGGAGGGAAAAGCTGTTCCGATCGAGGGGCAAGAAAACGAAAAGACGCCCCTGTTGCTGCTCACCTAGCTATCTAACTAGCATGCCCCGCCATAGTTTACCTGCGTGGCTGAAAAAAGAAGGCTGAAGACGGATATCTGCCAAAGTCAGGGTGTAAGACGAAGGAGAAGAAATCTCAAATACTCACGTGGATGGTTGTATAGTTGTTACTCCATAAACAAACCCGCATGTTACTACATACGTTCTTCGAGCATGGGCAACGATAATGCGAGATTAGGCCAGCCAAGCGACTTGTAGCCAGGTAGAAAGGAGAGGAGAGTAATTAGCTAAGGGAATTGGCCCCAAGACAGAGAGAGGTGATCTGCCTCATGGTCTTATTTTCAGAGAAGTTGTTCAAGATAACTCCAAGTTATTCCTCGTTAAACGCTCTAATCAACAACACAGCCTGGGTATGACAGGGCTAGAGTAGGTTCAGGGTGATGGGAGGCGATGCTGCTACTCATCGAACCAGCAACAGGAATGGAATTATCCATTCTTCCCCCTCCCTTCACCCTCCTTCTGTAGCTCTGTAAAGCCCAGCCAGCTCTCCTCGTAAGGCAGGCGAAAAGGATGTCACTCTGAGGTCAACCTCAGACAGACAAGTTACACAGGGGGCGAAAGGTGAAGGAAGAGCTGGCACATGAGCACTTTGGTTCCTGATCAATCTGTCGTTTCGTCACTGCATCGCATCTGCATTGCATACTTGTTTTTGACTCACTCTCGTCTACCCCATATAATAGGTCTGTATGCAAGCATATACGATGACAGGCAGCTGTCAGTGATCCTCTTTTTTCCCTTCACGATAACTGTTCCCCCCCTCCCTTTCCCCTCATCCAGACGCTGTGCAAGGCTCTAATAATCGACCTCGTGAGGATAGTAGTAAGTTGGCGTGGTATGGACTGTGTATCTATAAAACACTGGGTAAGCAGCCAACCATTGACTTTCTCCTCCCATCACTTTCGCTCTCGTCCACATGGCAACCGACCCCAGTGTCTCTCCCCTCCATCAACTCAGCGTGGGTCGTCCGTCCACTGCCTTGGTTTAGGGCTCCTCGTCGTCATCTTATCAATATTATATTAAATCAAAATAGCATCGTAACCCCTACTTATATATGGAGTTGCGGAATGGAGTTGAACAATGCGACGGTGATGGTACGCTGGCCCAGTTTCGGCCCACGTCTCTCTCCTTTTCCTCCTTCCAGAAGCTGCATGGAAGCCGTGGTTACGTAATACATACACATGCAGATCGCTCTCGGTATCGTATGTAAAATATAACGTCACTGTTATAACATTAGTCATTTATATTATATAATAATTTACATAATACACTTACATAAGCCAAGTGCAACCACCAAACTTCCTCCGCTTCAACTCACCTGACTGTATCCATATGCATAAACGGTGATATATTACTCTGGAGCACAGCACAGCATCGCAGCTCTTGGTGATATCGCGCAGGACCTGGCGCAGTGCGTGCTGCTGTGCTGTCAGATCGTCCCAAGAACCAAATGAAAGGGAGTCCTCCCCCACCACTCACACCATCAACTCTCAACAGCTGTCAGGATGGGAATGTCGAACAAGAAAAGTATGGAAACCTGACGGGTGAAGTGATGTAGGTACGGACCGCCTTACAAGCCTAAAAAAAAAAAGAGAGTCCAGCATCCCGGCGCCTAAATATATGCTCGTGCTGGGCGGACGAGGTGATGGGGGAGGGCGATAGGATTACAGCGTCGCCAACGCAGAGGTCAGCAGAAACCGGGGGGTGAAGGGAGCGCCAGAGTGAAAAAAAAAAAAGAACAAAATAAAAAATAAAGAATAATAATAAAATTGAATCAGGGCAGACGGAACATTCGACATCGGTGAAGGGATGTAAGGGAAAATGTACCCCTCGCCAGCCAGTTACAGACATCTCGGGGCGAAACTGTTAGACGTGCAGAGTCACAAGGACAAAGACGTGGATTAATAGGAGGAACATGGAACAGTATAGTATGGCTGGGGTTTAAAAATAAAAAAAAAAAAAAAGGGCACAAGCACGGGTATGCTCCAGTGGCCAGGAGATCAAGATCAGATCGCATGGAAGAGCTTGCATTTGCATCTAGCGGTGAGAGATGAGGCTTATACACCAACTTGGGTTGTTATGAGTTCATCCAGCAGCTCTGTTTTGGGCAGCCGTTGCATTTAATTATTTTTGCAGTGTGTATAGTTGCAGGCCTGGTGGTCATGTCATGCCATGTCTGAGTAAAAGGGGGGAATATCCCGTACGTACAGAGAGTACATACATGATGGCTTTTGCTCTAGCATCATATCTAGGCTTGACGTGTTTGTCTCTTGTCTAGTTACCCGAGATGACGGTTCGAAGCCGATATCACAACAGTCACACCACCACTATCACACATCAAAGAGAGAAGAAAAAGGAGGCCAGCTTGGGGATGAAAGAGAGAGTCCGAAGACCAGTTGATAGATTGCAACACGTCAATCTTCTATTCACTGTCCTTGGAGGTGGGCTATATGTACGGGGGGTGATGTCTCACGGTCAGGGAAGGGCGGCTGAACTGAGAGCAAAGCAATTGGAACACGTCAACCAAGGCTCCTCCACACAAACGTCTCTCCCCGTATAACAGACCCCTTGAAAGAGTTGAACTTGGACCCCCCTCAAGACAAATCTCTGCCCTATCGATCAACCATCGATCAACGTAGCTCAAGGGAATAAAAAATAAAAGCTCATAAAACAAAGCGCACTTCCCGCACATGACCAACTTCCCTCAAACGACCAGTTCTATTTTTTGGCTTCTCCCTCGTTCTTCTTCTTCTTCCTCTTCCGTTAGTTCCCCCCGAGACTAACATCCATCGCCAGGTTAGCCTTTTCTCTTCACCTCTCTTTTTCTCCTGGTGCGCGGCCTCAAGCCTACCGCGCCACTATCCGCTTGCACCTTCATCGATTCTCCACAAACAGACCGCTCACACGAACAAAGGTAGGATAGCCGTTGTGTGCCAAGCCGTGCGCTAGACAAGAGGGTGATTTTACATAGTAAAACACTCAAACAGTCAGTAGCCAACAGCTGCGCTTACCCATTGCTTGGTTGATGTTGGCAAGTTGCGTAAGAGGAATTAAAAAAGGAGAATGTGATATCTTTTTACATCTTCTCATTCGAGCACTAAGCTAGACCGTGACTTGAATCATGTATTTTTTTTTTATAAAGGGTCCTAATTATGTCTATTTTACCTTCGTTAAAAAAACCGGGCTGGTACGGACGTATGTTCGCTTCCCTCTCCCCTCAAGAGCCGGTGAGTTTCGTCTTTCGAGACGGCCATTCTGTCGGTCTGGGGGGTCAGGTCGAGAAGGGAAAAAACAACCAAGATTGGAGGGGGGACGAGAACGAGGCTGGATGCCTGATAGGGCTAGATGTATATACCTTCAACAAGTTATAGACAAGATGTACGACATGCGACTTGACGGCTATATCTCCGCCCAGCAGGACCTAAGTCAGGTTTTTCGTTCCCGTCCCCGAGGCGAGGCATGAAGTAAATGACCCAGGAACTAGAAATAGAAACAACAGCTCGACCAAACAGACGATGTCTGCTCGACAAGGCAGAACAAGCATGAAGACGGAAGGGAAGAAAAAGAAGAAGAAAAAGCAAAAGGAGGACCATAGAACATGGCGTGTGTTGGGCCCTGGGAGGTGATGATGGGGGACGATGTCGTTCGACTGATTCACTTGATAGGAAAAAACGATGGGCTATGTGACTGATGAGCTGTCACCAACGAAGGTGGCAGATACAAGCCGGGGAAGACAGTCAAGTGACCTTTTTTTTTTCCTTCGTCCCTCTTCTTGGTCCAAGGGCCCTTTTGAACATCTTCCTCAGCCGCCTCTCGCGCCACAGTTGAAGGGTGAAACGCGGCGCCCTTGCTAGAGAGGTAGAGGAGGAAGGAGACCCAAGGTCACCTACCACATCCAGGGTCGTGAGCTGAGGCGAGGCTTTGTGGGCCAGAATGGAGGGATAGAGGGAGAGGGCGCGCATCCCTTGAGGCCAGACACCAGTCTTCTCTCCCTCTCCACTCGATACGATGGCGATAGTCCATTAGTTAGAGCTATAGGAAGTCTAAGGGTTTAAGATGGTGTGGTATATACTCGCTATATAATAATAAAAAACAGCTGACTAAGGCGATCGTACGGTAAGTTAAATCCATACGCGTACAGACGATACAGCAGTAATACGGCTGGCGGAAGATTCCCGGCCAAAGGAGCAACTTAGTCAGCAGGCAGCAGTAAAATACTAGGTCACGGTACCTCGTTTTCTTCTTTCGGCTTTTATTTTTGCAGGGAAAAAAAAGTGGACCCACTTTATCCCTTTTTGCAAATTTCCTTTCTTTTTTGGCAATAAAGCTAAACTGCAAAAAAGGGAGAAAGAAAAAAAAAAGGAAGAAAAAGGAAAAAAAAAGGTTAAAAATAACGCCCTAGAAAAGAGAAAGGAGGAAGTACCTCTACATATATATTTGTATGGAGAGGTACATCGCTCGCACCACCGGGGTGGGAAGAGTGAAGAAGAAGCCCAGAAGTGTGTGATGTCTCCTCCCCCTCGGGGGTCCGCCCTGGGCTTTGCTCCATCATCAACTTCTTAAGTGGAACTCCCCGTCCATTTCGCTTCTCGTTCACACTCTCTTCTCCCCTTCAACGTCTCCTCTCACACGCACACACATCCACACACACATATACAACCTCACTTTCCCACCGCTCACTCTCCCTCTCTTATAATAACATCCTCACCTCTTTGTACTAACAACCTACTTCTCTTCTTAAACCGTTAAAAAGAGGGAAGTCCCGGATCTACAACTATATCCCGTTTGTTCGCATTGGTATTAGATACGCTCCCGCAAGGAGAGACACAAGGAAGAAAAACAGGATAAAGAGAAAGAGAAAGGAGGTGTACACTACACTCTTCGCCGGCTGCAACATATTACCCCGGACCCCCGACCCCATTGAAAGAGATACTTCCTACCCAGACGAGTGGAAAGAGTGTGTGAAGGCGGGAATATCAGGAGAAGGTCATTGGAATTGAAAGAGAGAAAAAGGAACAACCATGCCGTCGAGGCTGAGCACACCGGTCTTGACTGTCGACCCAGCAAAGATTCACCAGGTCGATACCCGTAACCCAGAGTCTCTCCATGGAATGTGGATGGGTGAGTGTTTGGTCCTCCCCGCGTTGAACATCAGGGAAACCGTTCTAATGGCGGAGTTATAGTCTTTTCACGCTGTGCGGATTTCATGGAAGAGGGCAGACGTCTTGAAAACTTGAGCTGGCGGCTCTGGAACCGCGAGACCTTCTGTGTCGCGCCTCAGACCAAGTCACGCAGCAAGCCCCTCGAGCAGAGCCAGAAGAGAACAAACTCCGGATCCCGCCTCGAGCGTCTAAGACGAGAATCAAAGTCCATCCCCGACTTGTCCACCAGCGTTGAGTCCGCCCTGTCTGATGAGGGACTGGAGCAGTCACGATCACGATCCGCGGCACAGACGAACTCCGGCTCGAGTCCACGGTGTCCCTGCACTCCGCGGACGATAGAGCTGGACCCCAAACCAACCATTGTCGGTGAGGAGTCAGTGCTCAGCATATCACGAGGAAGGGAGAGGCATATCACCTCTCTAGGACTAGAGAAAATGGTCTATAGTATCAAGGAAAAGAGACATTTGGAGCCCATATGTGTGCCTAAGAGCAAGTCACAGTTACAGATCGAGAACCGCGAGCTGGACGTCACTCCACGAGCTTCTTCTCCTACTCCAGCCTCGACACAGGAGCAACAGCAGCAGCCACAAACACAGACACAGCTTCAGCACTCTGCCCCAGCAAACAACCAATCCCTCGACTCCTGCTCTACAGTACTGGAGGGAGCTCGAGAAAGCGATGTTCCTACCTCTGCATCAGACACCAGCGTCTCGTCGGCCGAACTTCCTCGACAGTCGTCCTCCGTTGTGCGCGGCTTCTCGCCCTCCAAGATTTCCTCCTCGTTCCGCTCCCACAACCAACTCTCCCCTACACCAAGCACGAGCAAGAACTCAGTCCCTAAACACTCCCCCCTCAGGCACCAGAAACCCAGCGTCTTCACTCTCGGCTGCTCCTCTGGTGACGAGGAGTCTTCCTTTGAGGACAGAATTGCCATCAAGACCCACCGAAGCTCCCTTAGCGATGGCCTAAACCAGCCATCAGCACAGCACAGCAAGCCTTCATTCATCAGAGACTCTGCCGTTACCAGCCATCCCATCAGGCCAATTCGTGAAACCAGCGCGTCAGACGAGGACGCCATCGCCTCCAGTGATGAAGAAGACGAGTCTGAGATTTCCGAAAGCGCTATCGAGGACGAAGACGAAGGAGACTCGTCGGACGGCGACTGGGAAGACTCGATTACCGAATCCGGCAGGTCGAGCGTTGACGACAAACAGCTCTTTCAACGCGTCGACTCGCGACCGAATCTCGTTTCGCGCCGTTCGCTGCTGACAATGATGATGCACCAGCCACAGCAGAACTTCCCTCCCACCTTTCGGGGCCCCGGACCCAACTCGCGCTCCACACCAGCAATTCAGCAGCGCCCTCTTGCTCCTCCAGTGGACGACGAGGAGGAGAACAGCGGGTCCGAGTCTGGTTCCGTTGGCTCTCCTGGCCTCGAGATGAAGCGCTCGGAAGTACCACACTCGCGCCCAATTGTGATGACATCAATCCCCCCAGGCGCCGTGGTAGCTCGTGCTCACTCTCCGCGAACCACGCGCCGAAACATGCTTGCAACCGAACTCACCGAGTCTCTCCGCAGACATCTCCTCTGGGAGCGTCAGCAGAAGACCACCGCTGCGACTGCTACCGCGGCATTCAAGCGTCGCCATACGGCATGTGACGTTGCGGGACTGCAGGAATATCCCGGCGCCGGAGACTCCAAAGGCCAAGGAAAGGAGGACAAAGAGTCGAAGAACAGCTCGTGGAATCACTACTTCGACTACGGCCCATGGGAATATCACGTTAAGGGATGGTAGAACCACCACCCAATTTCAAGCCTAACCAACCTTATGGCCTTATTACCCTACATACACAACGACACTTATAGCCCCCCTTTACCTCTCTAAACCTCTAATACGTTTGATCGATTCTATGTATTATATTTATTACCTTTCGACGACGCTGACGATGTTCATTTGTTTACCCTATTTTCCCCTTACCCACTCTTACTGCCTGCTCATAAACCAGCATGGTCACTCCGCCCAATACATAATAACCTACCTCACCATCTCGCCTGTCCGTCTGTCCTGATTTCGTTGATGCTATTACCGTGTTCCAGATACCCAAGTCATGTATTTCTTGTTTTGTTATTCCTTGCTATTGCATAATGTTTCCCTTGTCTACCTTATTATCGGGTCTGGCTGGGTCTGGGATAAAACCAGGGGGCGGTGCGGCCTTCTGACTTTATAGTTATTCTGCTTCCCTCTCTACCTGGGTAAGCGTGTGTGTAGTTAGTTATTAAGTCTTATACAGAAAAAAAAAGGAAATAAAATAATATAAATACTTCTAATAATTCCCTCGGCTCGGAAGATGTCCTTCTTTGTCCATGACCGTCCCGGCTACAGGTAACCTTCGCTAGTCAAGGTGGTTAACAAGCGATAGTCCATAAGAAGTATCATTTTATCCCTTTATTCGAAGACACGAGACGTCGAACACAAGACGGCCAGACAAGACACGGCACGGCAGAGAGCAGACAGAGAGGTAGAGAGATCAGCCCATCAGCCCATCGCATCGCCCAACGGCTCAACGTCGGCTAAGTTTATATCTATCTATAGAACACTTTCCCACCTCTTCTACATAGTATGGCTAGCGACTTACGCCTTAGCCGATCATCTCACCATGTTCGTTCCCCCCAATGATTTGATCAAGTCAAGTTCAAGTGTTAAAAGGCGGTTTGGCACTGATCTGTCCTTCTATCTCCCCTGTCCCCCTTTCTTTTTTTATTTCTTCCTCCCCCCGGTACGATACGGGGAAGGGGAAGAGAACGAGGCTGCTCATTTACTTACACCGCCATTGACTAATAACGTGGGTGATCAAAATAGAACATGATACGGTGCGATGTTACCTACCGGATAGAGCGTGTATACAGTGTATAATGTCCGAGGATTCCGTGTCCCAATTGCCGGATGGAATCCTTGCGAGAAGATGTCGCGTGTGTACTCTTACGTTATTATCGAGAGATGGTAACAACCTTGTAACTGAAGCCAGGTATACGACGGGGAAGACGCTCACCTCACAGCCGGAACTGAACTGGGACTGCTGAGGCTGCTTATTTTTACATATGGATGTAATATATAAGCATATCCAGCACCGCTAAGCATTTCTCGTATGGGGAAGGGGAAAGTGATTCCCCCCTTGATAAAAGGAATTATTATTGACAGAGAGATGAGCGAAAAATAAAAAATAAAAGAAAAAAAGCAAATGCGCTCACTTTACTAACATCCTGTTGTTTATCTCATGCATACTCCGTATAACTAACTCCCTCCGAACTCCGAATGGCATTAATAATAATACCAGAGTGAAGAAGCTCTCCGTTCACATCCCATGGGACAATCCAAGACTTGCTGTAATCACACTCTCAATGCGTTGGCGATGGTTGCGGTGTCATGATGCGATGGTGTGTACTCCAGGTGCTGTGGAGAGGACAACAGTCGACCAGGGGGGTTGAGTTGTTGTACCTCTCGTTCCTTTTTCTTTCCTTCATGCCCATCTGACCAGAAAAAAAAAAACGGCAAGGAGGGAGTAAATTTTCCGATACACTCGTGCTGTGTGTATGTATCTAGATGGTCCTCCAGATCAAGCTCTCTCATTGAGGTTAAAAGGGATAAGGAAGTAAAAAAAAAAAAACCCTCTGACCGGGCTGGCGGGATTTCAGATGGACCACCACGAGGCACAGCGCAGAGTGACGTGAGGCGACATGAGACACCACGAGGTCTGGTCCATGCCTTGGTCGGGCAGATATATATCTAATATCTTCCGTGTGTAGGTATATATATATCTGCTTGCACGGGCGCTGGAGGACGGTACTGATTCGAAGCATGTTAACTCCAGCACAGATATAGATCCTATCCGACGGGGGATATCGAGGTCTGCCTTACCCATACCACTATATGGACGGAGTACCCGCTAGGCATTTTAGATTAGGCCAACATGGGTCAGACGGAGGTTGCTGGGATGAAGCATCCCTTTTGCTCGCCTAGACATTTGTCTGGACACACCGTACTCCATACATAAGAATGCATCTCGGTGAGTTACTCCGTGCCATGATATAGATGGCCCCCAGATGACTACTGATCCTGAACTGTGGACTCAACATCCAATCAGATAACATGCTGCAGCCGTTCCTTCGTACGTTTATGTATACATCCAAGGTCGCGAATAGGATAGTGACCTTCCCTTCCCCGGGGCCATGCACGTCTTGTCGTTCTTCTGGAAACCCATCTCTCTATCTGGATATGGTTAATGGAGGATGACTCCAAGAAGTTCGATATAATAAATATCCAGGAAGCTGTTTCACCACTTCTTCTCCTTTTTTGCATCTCCAAGAAAAAAAAAAAAAACCCCCCAAGAAACCAAAGGAACAGCACTTATCCACGTGCAAGGGGGCACTTGGCAGGCTGGTTGGAGATGACAAGTACCTGCTCCATATAAAACCGGTGGAAAGGTACCTCTTGGCCCCATCTCGCGTCAAGATCTGTTTTTTTTTTCCCCCATGGTCCATCGAAGCAGCATCTCTTTTTCCCATTTCGCCGGGAAGAACAGATGGAATGTGCCTTGCACTCCTTGAAACTGACAAGGCTATACGGCGTTATTTAACGATGTAACTTATGATGATACTATTATAGTAACGTCGGCTACTCAACATTCCTTCTGCCCCCTCTGGATCTCTCTCTCTCTCTCTCTCTCTCATACCACCTGTTCTTCGTCATGCGGCCGTCCGCTACGGCCCGCTCACCCTTTTCCCGTCCTCGCAAACTTCTTCATCCTTTGCTGGGCGTTTTCAGGCCTCGGGTAATTATGGAGATCACACAGATTCGGCAGTAAGCGGACGGGTGGGAGGGCGTTTCATCGACACCAGGTTCGCATTCGTATAACAAGTTCATCGGATATTGCCTTCTGAGATCTCTTGCATGTATACATACATACATACACGCATTTATTATGCATGTACATTATATACGACTGGTGTGTCTGGTGTCCGTTTCAAGCGATCGGGCACAGGTTTCGAGGGCCTGTACCACATCTGCCTCTGGGGTTCGGTCTTTCCGATGGTTTGCTTGCTTCTACCCCTTGTGATAAGACAAACATGAGACCAACGGTCAGATTGTATCTTCTTTGTTTTTCCAACCAGCTAGAGCGACCCTTCGATATCGCGAACTACCCGAACCCGTTGAACTTCGAACTAGCAAGGGGCAGACCCTATCTCTGTACTATGTATGTATCTTTGGGCTTCATCTTGAAGAGTTCAACGGCTAAGCACGGACGAACCGCGATGATATTTCTATACAGACTATTTTTGTAGCATGAACTTACCCGCAAATCTGCAGCATGCCCTGTCCTCTGGATGTATATAACGGCGTCCAAGATTGGTATTCAGGGAACTAGTATGAGCACAGTGCCTGGCGCATTCTCGGCGGTCTTGTTATAATTATAAGGTGCATAGGAGTCGAGTCATCATTCATCCTCTTGAAACAGTACAGGTTTGGGAAGACTGCGGAATATTCCGTACTCGATGAAGACGCAAACTCGCAAAATATCCACCCACATCACCATCTATTGCGTAGTATGTATATAGCATGCATGTAGTAGTAGTATGTATATATATATATCTTGAAGATGAAGTCGGTATGGGCGTTTGAACGCTGAATAAAAAAAAGGGCCCGAGCCGCGATTCGAACGCGGGGCCTCTCGCAAATATGAGCTTCCTTAAAGGGAAACTCGGGCTAAGGGTTGACCCGAAGCGAGAATCATACCAACTAGACCACCCGGGCTTATGGGTAACTTAAAATCCGCCCAACTAGTACTATCATCACCTTCTAGTAAAGCTGAGGGTAGGCCGGTCCTCAAAGCGGTGCGTTAAGCCCGTCAGTGGCGACCACATAATCGCTTAAAGAAGGGAGGGGCTAACCCAGGCGTAAGCGATCACTGACGATGAACCAGGGTCGTATATGGGTCAGACAAACGGCGGTGAAGGTGGTTGGGCTCACGAGTCGGCTGTTGTTGCTACTTAGGCGTCCTATGGCGGGAAAAGTATGAATGTCTTGCTTTGGTGGAGTATGGGAGGACCTGGACAAGCAAGGAGTTCCTTGTATGCAGTCTAGCATGGTCGGTTTGAGTATATATCAAGCCTGGTATTTGTCTCGCTACACTCTTCTTTGAAAGTCGGAAAAGGATGAAGAAAAGTATAGAAAAATAATAATAATTCCCGCCAAGACCTTGATTTACAAAAATCAGATAAGATAATCAGATAAGATATAAACTTATCTCTTCCCCTTGCAGAGTTTTCCTTCGCCTCTGCTTTACTGTGCATAGAGAGAAGCATTTCACGGATACAAGTATTTTCCATAGTAAAGAGTTTCTACCTTCATTTTTATGCATAGTAGGCTCCATATAATATACCTTCCCCATCGCTCTACGTTGTGGCCTGGTATTTAGGTATGGTTCACGTTGTTTCCTGGCACCCCCTTTTTTAACTGGTATACGTGCATACTGTTGGAAAGAATCTAACCTTTAAATTCCACAGCTCCGCTGAAAAGAAGCAAATTCAAAGCAACAAACAAAATCGACAGGCCCTGTGTATAAAAGTCGTCTTGGGCGGCGGATTGGGCATTATCGTATACCAGGGAAAGGCCGGCTGACCTTTGCGTCACTATGCGGACTCATCTGGGGAAGCCTGCGCCGATCCAATATTCGACTCCTAATACGAGAACATACTAGTATATTTATGAAGCGGATTGCGGGCTGTACCGAGTGCCCGCTTATAGCTCCTGATAGTGGCAAGTTAAGGTTTTTTGTAAGTGTTGAATCTGGGGGACGGGGTTATCCCTAAATTCAAGTATGTCCCCTTTTTTTGAGCGCAACGTTCTTCAGCTTGTGGCTATTGTTGAGAGATGGGTAGAGTTTTTTTATACTCTGCCACATCGGCTGACATGTCCCCTATGTCTGATTCGAGAGAGAATGGCGTGCAGAAGAGTGATGGAATTAGCGAGAGGAAGGTGACAGATCACCACTTACGTCTCCACCAGGGAAATAGATATAACTCTGGATCTCATAAAATACCACCTTGCAGTGACGGTTGTCGATAGCCTATGTGTGGATATCTCTCTCCTAACTGACCTGTGCAGCCCCTAAACATGTATATACGTACAAAAATGTGTGAGAGAGTGGACTCTTGCATATCCAAATGGCTGGGAGGACACAGGAACTAGTATTTCTCCGTCCTCCAATAGACGTTTCAGAGATGTTATATCCGATCACTTATGTGATTGGTGGAAAAGCGCTGTAAGATACCTTATTCGATCGGCGTCTGGGGTTGAAAGATAAAATATTTGCTTTTTCCCCCTTGATTTTCACGCTTTTCGCCTGTCAAAAAAAAGAAGAAGAAGAAGCCTATTCTTTGCTGTCCAAACACACTGCCCACACGGGCTAATGGTCCAATCATGTTGCTATAAGTTATAGTCCAACAGTTTCTTTGATATATATAACTTACACCTCGAGTAGTGGTTTCATATCAGCACAAATAAGGACCATGGAGGGTACGGATTTTGCAATGCATGGATTTGCCCCCCACGCCAATGCACAAGAAACAAGCGTTAAGGATGAATGGAATGCATCAGTACGAGCACTTGACTTATATTTTAGCAGCGAAAACCCTTTTCGTTCTCGCTTTCGCTTTAGCCCGATACAGCAATGTGTTGTCCACATCGACCAGGCCAAGGGGACAAGAGAGACGAAAAAGGACGTTGTGATTTGAGTACTAGGATCATGCGGGCATGGGAAACCCGTATTTTGGCGCGACTAAGGCCAACAGGTGGATCGACTTCCCTAGTAAGGCGTTAGAACAGGATCTCCGGCGAACTCAAGAATCTAAAAAAACAAAGGTATGCGATGTGGCTTGTTCGTATGACTCTCGCCAGTTGGGCGGCCATATCGATACTGTGTCAATATACCCGCTGTCTGTTCCTATCATCTAGAGACTTGCCAAAGGTCAGTAACAAGTAGTGACTTCTGGGCAGCCTGGACCAACGGTTGTCGCTCATATTTTGAATGCCGCGTGTATTTCTTTTTCTTTTGATTTTAGTTACCAGTTGGTGGGAGAAGGATCACTCCCTCCCCTATCTCCCCTTGACACCATACCCTTTCCAGTCATCTTATACAGAGCAACCAGATATTTAAATGCAGGCCAAATAGGGGTGTGGTTTTCAGGGGGCGAATTCTCATCTTTGTCTCTCCAGTAGCTTGGTTTTTGGATACCGCCCTCGTGGCGGGCATGAGGATAAACGTAAGTAAGAACAGTGGGTTCTCAACGGTTATGAAACGGCTTCAACCCTCCGTTGTTAATGTGCGCTATGTAGGGGAAAAAGCCATTGCATTATATATTGTCATGTACCCCACGCTACAAAATCCTCTTGCAAATACGAAACAAGTTCCGCATGCCGAGAGTCGTTATCGTGGGATAGTAGTCCGTTCAAGTTCTGGTGAATGTTAGCCTAACAGTTACCATACATACTCCGCGCTTGAATGTCAAGTGCCGAAGCAGGATCTAGTACTGAAAGAGAGCTCCCTGATTGGTTTATTTTTGAGGAGCCGAAAGGGTTCTTGACTTGCTGGGGGGATTAGTAGTGTTCAACACGGCTGTATGTCCACATCCCATGCCGCATTGGGCTATATGGGCCAGGGAGCAGTATATATGTGAAATATATTTACGCATCGACGGATGTATGGCGGAGCTTTATCTTGATTAATCCATCCATCCGAGCCCGACAGATTCGAGCGTGTTGCAGGCCATGTGGTGGGTAAAAGTTGCGGCTGTCCCCCCTGTCCCCTGTTGTACTGCTAAGACAGCACCGGTTAGCTGCCAGCCACAGGACCCGATCAGGAAGGTCTTCTCTTGCCGCT